GTTGAGTTGGGTTAATCATCTTTATCAAATTAAATAAATTCATATATGCTTCTTCACTTTTTAAAAAACCTTTTGATAGTCCGGGTTATTTTTAAAGGCAGCTTAAAGAAGTCTGTTTAATGAAATTTCATTTTTCTCTTACACGTCTTTGTAATGGGCAGAGATAAGACTCATTCCATTAAGCTCAAAGCTACACTGAAAAATCATTAGGTGAACCTTGATGTAGCTCACTGCAATTCACAGGGACAACACGGAGCTATCTGGGTAAGGCTCAAAGGCAATCTGTCAATTTCTCCTGGCTGCTCAGTATATGATTTCTCTTCTCCCTTGCTGGATTTTTCTACTGCAATGGCTCAGGTGATGTGAGGTCCCGTCTTTACCCTCTCATCACCTGGACCTGTAATTAAAGGGCAGCTTCCAGAAGTTAGGCCCAGCCACCCGTCCCTCCCTCCAAAACTCTGAATGTTGAGATCCTGAAACAAAACACTGAAAAAAGTATCTGAAGTGCAGTCGCAGCCACAGCAAGGCTCGCTGGGCCAGAGGCTCAGGGTTGACCAGGTGGCCAGACTGCCCTTGCCTGCCTGCCTCTGATCTCATTCTGCTGCCCTGGTTCCACTAGCTTCTACCCATTTCTTGAGCTTCTTTCTTCATTCAGTCTTCTTCTTGAATGTGTCATCTACTTAATGTTTTTATTAATTACCTGGGGTGTAGTTAGCTTTAGTGGCCCGAGAGCAAGAACTCTCAGTGAAATGGGTGCCATTTAAATGCCAAGGACTGGGCTAAGATGCTGAGGTCTTAGAGACAAAGAGACAAGAGTTTCTGATTACAGAAAAGTACTTTAATGTGGAACCCGAATACCACACAAGCCCCTAACAGGGTGCGCAATGGTGTGTATGAGTGGGCAATTCTATAGGAGGGAGCTGGGGGCTGTGTTCAAGGGCAGGAGATGTCCAGGAGGTGGAGAGACTGTGCTTGCCTGGGAGCCGGGTGCTGCTCACAGCTGGCAGAGGAAAGTGGCAGAGGAATGTCACCGTGAGGAGTGCTGGGAGTTCTCTGTCTCAGACAAGGTCTCTCCTGGAAGAGCCATAGTGGGAACATGGCAGAAGACAAAATGGAATAGGTAGATAGATGGCTGTCACCCCAGGGCACTGAGCGGTTAGAGGAGAGACTAGAATATTCTTAGAAAGATATTTCTGGAAAAGAATGAGTATATGAGACTGAATCAAGAGGCAAAGAAACTAGTTAGGATTGTGGTGTTCCTAATACAAAATTCTGTATTTTCTCTAAAAATATTAAGAACTTCCAACTAGCTTTTCTTTTTTAAAATTTTGTTTTGTTTTTTTGAGACAGGGTCTCACTATGTAGTTGAGAATGACCTGGAACTCACTATGTAGCCCAGGGTGGTCTCGAACTCACAGCGATCCTCCTGCCTCAGCCTCCCGAGTGCTGGGACCAACTAGCTTTTCTTTGTTCATGGTCTTTGGGGTGTCTGCCATCACATTTCCCTTTCATCTTAATGCCTTTACTGGAGGTAATAAAAGATCTCACCCTCAGCAGTGTGAATAGTTGAACAGACTCTCAAAGCATGGGGAATCAAGGGGAGTGTGAGGCCTTGGTGGAGCCTGAAGACTGGGAGAGGAGAAATCCTGCGTCTGAGGTCCTGGAGATATGTGTGAGACTGACGGTGCCACAGGAAGCAGCAGGGCCCAATAAATCAAGGGAGGAGCGGGATCGCACTGAAGGGGCCCTGGTGTTTAGAGCCTTCACACACAGAGCACTCCTCTTCTAGGAAGATTTTCCCGCCAGTGACTGTTCCCTTCCTGTCCTGTGCCAGGCTGTCACAAGCAGGATCACGAGGAACAATTATGTTAATGTGTTTCCTGTTTGTCTTTTTGCTGAAGTCTATATAAGAATTTTTTTAAGCCATGGTACAAGCCTTTGATAAAGGGCGATCCAAGTATAGGATGAACGTGTACACTGAAAAAATTTATCACAGGAAAAGACACATTGCCATGAATCTCCCTCAAAGTACTCTATTCCCTTTGAACACATTCATCCCATTGTTCCTGCTACTTTTGGAAGCATTTCCGGAAGCCCTCTTTTGTGAGTGTCTTTATGAGATGTGATCAGAAACACATGTGAATGCTCCTGCAAGTGCGATCCAAGGGAAACGCAGGCTCATGCAAACATAATAGCATCTCTTCTTCCACCTTACACACTGGATTTGGCTCCATGAAATTCCTGGCTCTACCCAAAGTCAAAATGAACATGAAAGGGAAACATTTTTAATTCAGGACATCGAGGCAGCCACAACAGCACAACTAAAGACACTTGGAAAGGAGGACTTCTAGAGCTGCTTCAGAAAGTGACAAGAGTCATGGGACAAGTGTGCTCACGTGAGGGGCAGGGTTCTGAAGGAGCTTCGTGTCCGTGTGCGTCTTACTGTAATAAATGTTCTGCTCACACTGCTTAGTTGTGTGTAGGCGCCCAGAGCAATCCTAAAGACCTGTCCTGATTATACTTTAGCTGAATCTTTCTGGAAAGAGGAAGGAGGCTTGGTGGTGATGGAGTAAAGGTGGCAGCAGAAGTAAAGGAAGCTTAGGGAAGAGGAAAGACAGGAGGGGGAGGAGGATCCAGGAACAAAGAGGAGGAGGAAGTGAGAAATAAGGACCACAAGCAGTGAGTAGATCAGCTCAAGGGAAAACAATAAACCAAGCAATTTCCAGTCACTATTGGTTTCAGAGCTATGGTCAGCCATGAGTACAAACATTCTTTACAGCAATCATTCCAATCATTGTTAAGTGTTTGTTGAATTAAAATAGCTTAAACAAACTTAGATTTTTCAAAAGGGACAGGAAGGGTGGGGCTGTAGAGAATAAAAAAAAAAAGAGCTGCTCCAAGAAAAGGTGATGAAAATGATAAAGTGCGACTGGTCCAGGAGGAACCAGTCGCTTAGAAGAGAGGAGGTGGAAATCAGGAAGTCTGGCGAAGAGGCTGAGGCTCAGAGAGGCTGTGTGGTCAGGGACAGTCAATGGGTCCCAGAAAGAGCACAGGAATGAAAGTCTGCTCTTCAGAAAGCATAGCTGTGCTTTGCCTCTCTTGTGACACTGGTTCTTCTGGACTGCAGACTCAGGACCTGTAATTATTTTGGGGGGCTGATTTCCTTTGTTTCTTATTATAACATTTAAAGCATATTAATCGTATCTTGGCCTAGTCAGAGACCAGCTGGCTGTAACTTAAAAAATATCTATAGGTACTTTTCTGCCGGGATACCCACCAAATTGTAAAGAGCAGCAACTTTTGAGAGTCAAACTGGGGCTGACTTTCATAATTTATTGCTCCTTTTTAATATTAACTTTGTTTCAAATAGTTTTTTTCTTTCCCTTCAGTATTCGATTTTTTCTTTCTGACATTACAAATGCATCCATGCTTATGAGATTTATTGCCATTTATTTAACCAAAGGCCAATGATCAGATTCAAGGTTGTTTCCAAATTATTGCCAGGACAACTAGTATTAAAGTGATCAGGCCTGTATGCTTTACGTACTTCTGTATTACTACAGGATAGATTTAATATAGTATTGCTGAGTGAAAGCATCGTGTGCTTTTATTTTGAGAAATATTACTAAATAGTTTGTAGAAATGTTGCAGTGGTTTGTACTCCAAACAGTGCGTGACTTTGCTAATATCCCCTTGCATTTACCAATGTAGGACGTGACTCCTCTTCTCAATCTTGGCTAATTTAGAAGCAAAATTAATTTTCTCTTGTTTTAAATTATTAGTGACTCTGGGAATAATTTTGATTATTAGTGAGATCAGCAAAAATTTTGTAACCTTAATGATGGTTACTTTTCAAAACTGACAAAAGAGTTCTATATATTGTGAAGTGATATTTACTTCTGCTATACATGTGGAAAACATTTTCTCTCAGTGTACCTCATTAAAGTTTTTATAGTGTCTTTTTTTTTGGTATCAGAAATCAAACTCATCACCTTGTGCTTGGGAGGCAGACACAGTGCCACTGAGCTAAATCCTCAGCCTCTATAGTGTCTTTTAATAGACAATTTAATATGACATTTTTTTTTTCCTTCAAGGCTTCTAGGTGTCATATCCTGATTAGGAGGAGTGGTAGAACTATCCTCATCAACATCATTGCTATCCTACTACTGAAAAGTGGGAAATCAGAAACTGGTCCTGGGATTGTTTCTTCTTTGTAAGAAGAATCTTTTTTGCCTATGTCCTGTACTCTCAGTAACTACTTTGAAAACAATACATAGCGCTACTCTCTTAATTTATTATGAAGTTTTGTTTTATTTATTTTGGTACTGGGGATCGAACTCAGGTCCTTGTGCTTGCGAGGCACGCAGCGGAACCACTGAGCTAAATCCCCGGCTGTTTTATTTTTTCGTAAGATAGAGGAATTACTTCCAGAAGTTATAGGTTGGGCTGGGGCTGTAGCTCAGCGGCACCACGCCTGCCTGGCAAGTGCAAGGCCCTAAGTTTGATTCTTGGTACCAGAAAAAAAAAAAAAGAAATCCACAAAGTTATAGTTAACAGGTTATAGTTATAGGTTAACAGGAAATGTTACTCACCTTAAAATTATTAAGATGGCCTCTGCTGTGTTTCCTTGGGGTACGCGCCATACCTTCTGGCTGTAGTTTGTATCAACTACTGCACAAAGAAGGCAAAGTGAAGGATAAGAGATTTACTTATCCCACACACGCACGTTAAGTCCTCACTTTCCAAGTCCACTCTCCTCCCAGAGAATCAGACATCCCCTCCCTCTCCCAGTCCTCCTCCCTCTTTCGGTCTCTTCATCTCTCTCCCTCTCCCTCTGTCTCTCTCTCTCTAGGGATTCCATTAAAGGCATTTCGGGCTCTCCATTTGTCCCCTCCTGGCAGCAGAGCAGTCACATCAGAGGTGCCTTCCCCGACATTGCCCTAGCAACTCCCATACATGACTTCGCCGCAAAGGCTTAGGGGGCTTTATGACTGGGATTAAGGCGCGCATGCTCAGGGAAGGGCTCTGCAAGGTGATTGGACGCTGCTTCTGCGCTCGCAGCCCAATGGCTGACAGTAGGTGGGGCCTGGAAGGCTGAAGTGGATTCTGGTCACCACCGGAAGAGTGATTCTTGTCACAGTCCCTTGGTCTCCCGCTCTCTGCTTCGGTGGCCATGTAAAGAACAGCTCTCTCTTCCTGTCTCCTCTGCACACTCGCTCCGCCAGGTGCTCCGCCATGTGCTTCACCTCTCCACAGCCCGGAGACAGTGGAGCTGCTGGACCCTGCACTGAAGCCTCCGAAACGGTGAGCCAAAATATCTCTGTCTTCCTCAGCCTTGGAAGGTCATGGAGGAGCGGAGAGACACTCTTCTTCTAGGTTCGCCCAAGCGACCAAGAGGAGATGATGAGAGGCTGAATGAGAGGATATATATAAATTGCTGTAACTTTCGTTGCCTTAGACAATTGTATCTGCCTCCCTCCTTTTTAATGCTTAGCTCTAACGGAATTTTCCCTGCAATGCTGAATTTAATCACTGCCCAAGATAAGCATTTCTGTTTTGGATTTTTTCATAGCCCCTTGTAATATAGCAGTCTTCCTCAAATATCCCTCTGTCTTGTGTCTAGCTGTGTAGTCATTATTTATTTTTCTTAAACTCTACACTGGTGCCAAGATACTTGTTGAAGGCCACTCATCGTTTCCCTATAGTGGTTGCTATTATGATTTCATTCGTCCGAATTAGTAAAAATCCAATACAGATTGGAAGGAAATATAGAATTGTGTCTGATTTTTGTTTTTTTTGGGGGAGTTTCCTGGGGATTGAACTTGGGACCTTGCGCTTGCGAGGCAGTTGCTGGAACCACTGAGCTAATCCCCGGCCCGGAAGAAAATATAGAAGTGTGGAATTATACCTCAAAATGACAGGGAGGTTTAAAATAAGAAGAGAGGGCCCATAAATAAAATTATTTGCATGCTGATGGTGGCTGTAGCAATTCACTTGCAAGGGAGAACAAACAAACAAAAAATGCTCAAACTAAGACACTTTCTTACTCTGGATGTTTGGATATTTGACATAAGTGTAATCTCTGAGTATTGTGATTTATAGCTTATCTGATCTGCTCTTGAGGGATTGCTTTTCAATTTAAGAAATTCAAGTTCAGTAAGTAAGGCTGATGTTGAATGAGAGAGAGGAGACTTACAGCTGGTTTGTACTTTAAAGTTTGTAATTAGTTTTTCCATCTGCACAGTATTTGTCATTCTTCTTGTTGGTGTGATCCAGGCAAGTCTGCACTTGTAAATACAACACATCTTTACTGATGCTCTTCATGCAAATTTTTAGTCTGGTACAGTAAATGTAGAAAAAGTTACATTTTGTATTAAAGCAGAATTTGATCTTATCAATAAGAGCTAAAGTATCTTGTACATTGTTACTGTATTTGAACCAAAAGGGCTGGTTTTGGGAGTCTTTGAAGCCTATATTGTAGACACAGATCTTCTGTGTAGCCTGTATGGGTGCTCTTGAATTAAAGCAATGTGCTTTGCTTAAATGGAAAACTAGCTCATTAAGTTGCTATCATTCCTCAGTCATCAGCAGAGAATAGCCAATAATTGATTTGGAAAGGGAGGGGAATCATTTCCTAAGCTGGTACTGATTATTTTTTTTATTGGATCTGTCTCCTGATGATTAACACAGAAATTCCTCTAGCAATTATAGAGTATCTTATAAATGACTTTCATAATTTACAGCTTGCCACGAGCAGCTTCAACTCGAACATGTGTGTAATTCACTCTTCTGGCTCATTTCCATCATCTCTCCCTCCCTACCCTGTCTCACATGTGTGAAATGCTAGTCTGAGAGCATGTTCCTCTTAGCCAGTTAATAGGGCCCATCATATAGAGAATACTATGGCTGACTTTTATGGATGCATTTGAATGGAAAATTGGGTTATTCCTGAAGAGGCAATTCCACAGATGAGCCCTAAGCTTCATACATGATCACTGATTTCAGCCTACTACCCATTCTATCAGTTTTCTTCCTCTCCCACTTTGAAATAATCACAAGAATTAAGGGCAAACAATTTAGTTAATGAATTTGAGGGTTTCAAGAAGGCTGAATAGAGTTAAACACTCACCTGCTCGTACACAAAGAAGAACTAAATTAACAGGTGTGTAGCTTTATTTGGTAACCACTGGAGAGCACTGGGAATCAGCAAGACAGAAACAATCTTTGTGAGATTCAGAGACCTGGGGCCATAGCATAATAAGAGATGCAAAATTTATTGGTATCTGCCACTTTGGTTTCACAGCTTGAGGGGGATCTTCCTCTTTGCAGAAGTGAAGAGGGGGGTCTGTTCAAACTCTATCATGTGGATACTAGGAATGTCACCTCCTGGAAAGTTTGACAGACCCCCCCCCACCACCACGCTGCCTGCCCTTTAGATAAGTCAGCAGTTAGGCTTCCTCACTTTGGAAAAGGATCCCCATTATGGATGCTATGGCCAGGTGTTACCTTAAGAAGGGAGATTTTCTGACGACTTGTGCTGCGTTTGGGGTCAAAAGCCCTGCACGTTCCCATCTTCCATATCCTACCAATCCTTCCTCTCCTCTGCAGAAGTTTGTGGATGGCCACCTCTTGAACCTGACCTAGCCCAGTGTACAGAATGCCTCCTCCCTAAATCAGCTGAGAGCTCTGTATGCACGGGACTCTGCCCTGGGGGACCAGAGGACAGAATAGGGAGCCTGGGTGCTGAGCCATGGGAGTGGCCATTTGTGTGGCTCTCACTGCCCTTCCCCCTGGACTGCTTTTGGGCAGCTGTGGCTGCCAGGTGGGGCAGGAAACCACATACCAACAGGACCTACAGCACCTGGGTAAGGAGGCCATGCCCCGTTCCAGGCAAGGATGACAGCTAGAGGAGTTGGAGGAGGAAAACCTGGCCATCGCCCAGTCACACGTGCCTGGAGGGTTGGTCTCACTCCCCGCAGTGCTCCAACAGTCACAGTGAAGAGGAAGGCCACCAGGCTTATGATCACCTCACCTGTGTGGTTCCCACTCTGGGCCACCTTGTACCTTTTCTAACTGTGCTTGGGTCAGGGCTGACCACAGAGGGCATACCAACCTTCCTGCTTCCATCTCAGTCTATGTGACATCAGGGCCCACACTACTGCCTGGTCAGAGGGCAAGTGCTTCAGGTCCCTCGCATGACTGGTGTTTCCGATGCCAGAGGTCCTTCAGAGGAACAGAGCTAAAATCCACAGAGTCAGAGAAAACCCTATCACCAGAGAGGGGCTGCCCACTCTCATTGTAAGCCACACAGTGAGCTCACACAGACCTGCTGTCTACACTGCATGTGCCTGCACTGCTAGTGTACAATAGTGACTCTCTCTGACTCTGACACACTGTTCAAACTCACTCAGTGATATGCAGATGATACTGTGGAGCTCTGCTTGAATCAAAGCCAATATTGCATAATAAACAAGATCCCAAGACATTTCCCCAGGAAAATCCACTGCCTAAAAAAGACAGCTCCATGAAAGTGGTAGTGATATTTCATCCAAGTTTACATCTTAATGGAGGAGAATAAGAAACATGAAAGAACAAGCTAATGCACACCACAAAAAGATCATGATGCTTTAGCAACAGATTTTCAAGAAATTAAAATGAGTGAAATGCCTGATAAATAATTCAAAAGAACAAGTTTTAAAAAGCTCACTAAATTTTGAAAGAATATAGATAAACAGTTCAACGATAAGGAATATTATGAGGGATATACATGAGAAATTCAGCAGGGAGACAGAGATTCTGAAAGAGAACCAAGTAGAAATTTTGGAAATAAAGAGTTTACTAAAAAAAAAAAGAAAAAAATTAGTCAAAAGCTTCAACAATGAAATAGATTAAGTAGAAGAATATCTGAGCCTGAAGATGGAGTTTTTAAAAGTGTCCCATGCAGCCAAAAAAAAAAAAAAGAAAAAAAAAAAAAAAAAAAAAAAAAAAA